CCCCCCGGAGTAGCAGCCTGTGCGGATCGTTTTGCCTCACTCATGCACTATTGAAGGGACGATCGGCCGCGTCGACAAGTTCGACAAGCCGAAGCGACTCGTTCGCGCCCGTGGCGGTCGAGCATTTGACGGTCGCTCTCGTGACTCATCCCGTACGGGACATAAACGCGCCTGATACGTGACGCTGCCGCGTTAAAGCAGCCAAAATACGAAAATCGCGTATAATAGATTCGCCGTCATAGACATAGATGTGTATGCGCAGGAGATATTTTTGATGTGACACCTGCATACGTGACACGTACATACAATCGCCGCCGAGGGGATCGCACAGGCGTGTTTGTATGCGCACGTTCGAGCCGCGAGCGAGACACCCCGAACACCTCTCGGACCTCCTTTGCATGGTGAGATTTTTTTTTTTTTAGGTTAGAATTCCCGAAATTGTATGTGCGTACTCCCACCCCACCCCCCGTCGATCATCATCAGTGTCGTACGTCATCGATCGCGATCTTCCCGTCGCGTCTTAAGGCGCATCTTCAACATTCTAGGATTACGATGCAGTTTCCCCCCCCCCCCCTCTCTCTCTCTCTTTCTCTATTGCTTTCATCCGTTCGGTCAGGTGATTCGATGATGAGCTCGATTGTCGTTCTTTGAGGTTAGGACGGGCAACTTTTCCTCTCGATTCGCTTCGCGTTTGTCGCGTGACAGTGTTCCGTCGTGGCAGATTATTCGGTTATTCGCGACATCGAGACGAAGAATTGCCACCGATATCGCGATCGTCGCGAGCACCGATGACGTCGAGGGTGCACTGCGTGTCGTAGCCGTTATACGAGTACGTACAACTCTGACGTAGTTGGAATTTATAAAAATCACAAAGGTAGAGACGATACAGTTTGTCTAACGTAATGTCATGCAGAGGAGTTGTCAATCTTTGGTTCCAACTATTCCTTCTTCGTTGCGCAGTTGTATTCGATGCTCCAGTTTTGTGAAAGCCAAATTTTCCTTCAAGTTCACAATGTAACTTCATTCTGTTTCTCATAATACATTTGTAACAGCGATAGACATAATTTATGTATTCTGAATATATGATAACGTATATATGTTGAATACAATTCTATAGCAATGTATGTTTTAAGTGTATTACATCGTTTATTTTCTAACATAATTGATGCGAATCTGCAAATTATAGTACGATGAGTGCAAAAGAGTGTATGCTCACATTTAAAACATACTTATTTAGCAATAGATGTTGACCAAGGCATATTCGTCAAATAATGTAAACATTTCTTAAGGATATTTCCTGGCAATGGAGAGTGATAAAGAATTTCTATCTTTTTGGATGTTTCATAAGGTGCATACATTGTAAGAAAACATGCCTCTGTTTGGAAAGTCCCAGAAGAGTCCAGCGGAGGTGGTGAAGGCTCTCAAGGAGGCGGTAAACGCGTTGGAACGCGGCGACAAGAAGGTAGAGAAGGTACGTTGTTGCGGATACACGTCGGTTTCTACGATGAAATACATCCCCTTTTAGGCGCAAGAAGATGTGAGCAAGAATCTTGTACACATTAAAAACATGCTATACGGCACGGCCGAGACGGAACCGCAGGCTGACATCGTGGTGGCACAGTTGGCGCAGGAGTTGTACAACAGCAATCTGCTACTTCTGCTTGTGCAAAATCTGAGTCGCATCGACTTCGAGGTACGCCCTTGATACGTATAAAACAATTCAACAGAAAGGTTGTACGATTGACATTCTTTGCAGCAAAGATAAAATTATTTATTAAAATATCACAATATTTATGTAGCTTGCTCAATGTTGTGTTATTAATATATCAAATATTTAATAAAATAATATTTATATTTTTTTCCAAGATGCATGAATTATTAACGAATGTTATGAATTTTATTCCTTTATTGTTCTTGATTAAGGGGAAAAAGGACGTGGCGCAAGTCTTCAATAACATTCTGCGGAGGCAAATTGGAACTAGATCACCCACGGTAGAATACATATGTACCAAACCTGAAATTCTTTTTACACTTATGTCTGGGTGAGTCCATTTTCTTAAATGCTGACAGGATATAATGGCATATATATCTACTAATGAACAAACTTTATTTTGTAGCTACGAGCACCAAGATATTGCGCTCAACTGTGGCACAATGTTGCGAGAATGCGCGAGATACGAGGCGCTGGCGAAAATTATGATCTATTCAGACGACTTTTACAACTTCTTCAGATACGTCGAGGTCTCTACATTTGATATCGCGTCTGACGCTTTCTCTACATTTAAAGTACGTTACGCTTTGCAACATAAGACATAAGAAACGTAGAACAACATATATTTGAGAAATATTTAAATATTATTTGTTCTCTTTCACTAGGTTTTAATTAAATATATCTCTGAAATATGTTACTATTTCTCTTCCAATATTTGTTATATTATAAATATGTTAAACTATTTTTATTATTTTTTTTGCAATGATACAATCAAATGATTTGTGATTGTTTATCCAGGAATTACTTACAAGGCACAAAATACTCAGCGCTGAATTTTTAGAGATACATTACGATAAAGTTTTCTCGCATTATCAGAGGTTACTCAATTCAGAAAATTATGTAACACGACGACAGAGTTTAAAGCTGTTGGGCGAGCTATTGCTCGATAGACACAATTTTACAGTAAGTATTAAAAAAAACTCTTTGAATATATTTTTAATAATAAGTTTAATAATTTCTACATTTATAAACATTTAATTGCTAAAAATACAGCCAAGACAATATATATTCGCTTTCGTAGATATTGACAATAGATTTATAAAAAAAGGAAAAGATATATTCTGACATTTTTTATAATATATATATACATATAATTAATGTAGAGTACTGATATAAAACATTTTACAAATTTGTAGTAATAATTTATATAAACAAAAATTTTCTAAGGACAGAAAATACAATTATTTACATTTAGTCAAATTTATGTTAATAAAATAATTAGTAGAATAGTTAGTCAAATTATTCAATCAATTAAAGATACATTGCAACATAACTCTAAATAGCATATAATGAGAGAAAATATATATTTGGCAACACTTTATAATTATTTGAAATTTAAATATAAAAATATAGTCTTGGAATTAGTTTTCATGCTAAATATGTTGCAGGTCATGACCCGATATATATCGAATCCAGATAATTTGAAATTAATGATGAATATGCTGAAGGAAAAGTCTCGCAATATACAGTTTGAGGCTTTCCATGTCTTCAAGGTATGACACTACTTGATACAGTCAAATTCAAATTTTTAACTTGTAATTTTAAATGGATCATGAATATCAATTCTTAATTAAGTTCTTGCGTTCTTTCTCGGGCTTCTCAATGCTATACATCACAAAATAAGGTCAATCTCTCTTCTCGAATTTCTATAATTGTTCCAACAAATAGAAAAAAAAACTATCCCATCGAAACAGGATGGAATAAAAAATTATTGATGGTTTCTTTTCATTGTATCCAGGTATTTGTAGCAAATCCCAACAAACCGAAACCAATTTTGGACATATTGCTCCGCAATCAGGAGAAGCTGATCGAGTTCCTGACGCGCTTCCACACGGATCGTTCCGAGGACGAACAGTTCAATGATGAGAAAGCGTATCTGATTAAGCAGATCAAAGAACTTAAGTCTGTACATGATAATTAAGTCAAAGAAATACAATTATTGCTACTGCTACGACTAACTACCACTACACTCATTATTACTATCGAGTCTGCTGCTGCTATTGCTAATTACGGTTTTATCACTATTATATATGTAGTTATAATTTATCATCATCACACCATTGTCATTGTCACCGTTATTACTATCATTATCATTGTCATCGTCATCTCGGCATTATTATTATTATAATTATTATTATTAATTAATTTTATTTGTGAGTAGCACTGTAAATAAAGATTACATTTATCTCTTATTGTATCATATGCAGATCAAATTGTCATCGTTCTACCACATTTTTAGGAATGAATCGGTTATTAAAGCAGAAAGAAAACCTGATTGTCTTTATTTTTACAACTTTAGTTGCGAAATTTATGCTTATTAGAGTGTATATTTTCACCATAATTAAAAATTTATTATTATATATATGAAGAAAATGACAGCAGCTATTGAAGCAATTTCTATTACTATTTTTTTGCGTACATTTTTAAATTTTCAAATATTATCTTTTTAGATTTTCAGATTTTTTAAATATTTTTGCAATTTGGATCTAATAAGGATCAGTAAACATTTAAAGGGATCATGAGAATATTACAAATTAATATAATTTTTTTTTGTTTTTAATTTAACAAATTATTTTACTAACCTTTTTTATGAATTAATATCATTTAAATTTTTTTGACAATAGCTGCAACGGCGAAACTCATATCACTGAAAAGTCGTGGTTTCTGTGTGTTATTTCGATCAGGATCACAATTGGGATATAATTTCTCTATATCTTTTGATTTTTGAAGTTTTGTTACTACGTCATCCTTCAAGATCTTTTGTTGAATGTTTTTTATCAACCAATTTATTTGTGGACATGCCATCATGGCCTGAAAAACATTAGAAAATATAAGAGAAAGAAAATTAAATATTTAAGAATGTGTGCGTATAATTATATATAAGTATTTAAAAGAGTATAGTGACAATTATTAAGAGTTCAGAAATCTGCAAAGCTACGAAATTTAAGAATACAATAATATCCGTGATACAAGATGAGAGGAATTACTTTCAGCTTAATTTAACAAAATTTACCTTCGAATAATCTTCATCCTGGTTAAGCAGCCATATTAGTGTGGCACAACACAGGAATACCTCTTTATTTTTCAATGATCCATTCAGAAGCTTCATTAACGCCAATGCGTATTTGGTCTAACATATAATTAAGTTTCTTTTACTAACGCAATGAATGTAGAGAGAAAGATAAACCGTCGATTTTCAAACTTACTTTGATGGTGTATTTTCTTGTGTAGTCATGCTTCGTTAGAGTGATCAGGATGCTGCACGCTCGCAAACAGACTTTCATCCATGGCACTGATCTGTTGTTCTGCGCTATTATATTGTAAATGTCATCGGCCAGATTCAGCTCGCAGAGGATGATGCAAACGGTCGGTGATAATTTCGTTATAGTATCTGTGATAGACACAAATTATTCACGTATCATTTTTATATATCATTTTTGTCGAAACTGCCGGAAATCATCAGATTATTTAAGGAAACAATATAGTACATGTATAATGAAGATAGAGTTTTAGATTAGTCTTAGCTTTACAATTAGAGTTTCCGAAATAATTCCAAAGATTTATCTTATTCAAACTCTCCTCTTTACTTCTCTGAGAAATGTCATTATTATCTAAAAATATCTATCTCGAGGTATTATTCTTTAAATAAGAGAATACTCTACATACCTAAGCTACTCAAACAAGTGATCAGCGTCCCGACGTTGTTACAGTCGCGTAAATTGTTGATCATCTCTTTCCAGTAATCGCTGTCTGGAATTGCGAGCCTTGTGGTAACATCTTGAAGATCCATCTGCATAGCTTCTCCGCACTCGTTTCGAATCTTCGTGGCGATGTCCTCTTGCCATTGCCGGCGTGACTCCTCGTGTTCGACTCTCCTCTGCCTATAACGACGCTGCAGCGTGATAACTGTGCGACGCAGAGACAAGTAACGCAGCCTCTCGTGTCTGCCTGTGATGCAGGCTCGCCAATAGGTCTGGATAATCAACGCGGCATACTTGACAATCTCATATCTCCGTACTGCGATTCTCATTCTGTAATACGATTGAATGATTATCGCAGCCCGGCGCGAAGCGACGAACTGTCTTCTCGTCGTTAAAGCTCTCCAACGTGACTGCAAGACAATGGCTGCTCGAGTCAGCAGATACTCTCTTCTCGTGGAACGAGCAACTCTTATCGCACGCCATCTTCTTTGTACTTTCAACACGCAGATTTTATATCGTTTATACTCGCTCTTCGCTTTAATCATTCGCCACCAGGATTGTAGAGTGACGCATGCCTTCTTCTTTGTCAAGTATCGCTGACGATCCGCACGAGCCAGGACACATTGACGCCAGTGAGTTTGCAGAAGAATGGTAGCCTTGCGAAGTCGCAGATATCTTTTGCGTTCCTGGCGAGCTACCGCAACGTTGCGCCACCAATTCTTTATTCGTAGCGCGGCGTCTCTCATCTTCAGGTAACGTCGTCGAATAAGTTTCATTGAATTAACACAACGATACCACGATTGTATCAGTAAAGCTGCCTGCCGTTGCTTCAGATAATGTCTTCTGACTATTTTCGCTCGCCAATTCTTTTGCGCGATCAATGCCGCTTTCCGCAGTTGCAAGAATTCTGCGCGTTGATGTCTTATAAGCTTGATTACGCGCCACCAGCGTTGCAATTTTATGCAGCAAGATTTTTTAAGCTTATACCTACGCAAACACATAATCGTTCTCCACCACGTTTGTATCTTCAGACAGGCGACTTCTTGCTTGTGCGTTCGGTACTTTCTCCACGTTTTCTGAATAAGAACAGCACTCTTTCGACGCAAAAGAAACTTTTTTCTATCGAGCACGCTTATCCACCATCTCTCGATGCTCCATATGGCAGTTCTTGTCCGCAGGAAATCATTTCGCGTTTTTTGCGTTAATAACCATTGTCTCCACCAAATCTGAATGATACGAGCACTCTCTCTTCTGTGAAGGAACCATTCGCGCTGTTTCCGCGCGATCTTCACGGATCTCCAGAAATATTGTACTTTTATAGCGGCATCTCTACACGCGAGATATTTGGAACGTTGCAGTTTCATCGCTCGTCTTGCTCTCCACCGCGTTTGTATCATCAATGCGGCGTTCCTAAGATTGCGATACTGATCTCGCTGCGTTCTCATCAATAACACGGTTCTCCATCTCCTCTGCAATCGGATCACCGCTTCGCGTCTATTCTTCAACTCTCGCAGCTTCTCTTTTCTGGTTTCTCGCACATGTCTCCACCATTTCTGAAGACATATCGTGGCTGTTCTGATTCGCAAGTACCATCTGCGTTCCTCCAAATCGCAGAGAGTTTCGCTTCCTGGCAGTATGTGCCAGGATAGTGTTGTCTTACGTTTCCATGCACGTTGGATTATGATCGCGGCGAGATTTCTACGTGCGCGCAGGAAGTTTCTCACGCAAATATACCAAAGTTGTGCTCGCCACCATCTCTGGATCACGCGAGCAGCCCGATCAAACCGCGGCGCCTGATACTTGTGAATAATCTGCCATAGAAGCGATAGAGTCTTCTCACAGTGGCCGTCGGCGATGCTCTTTGCATCTATATCGCCTTCAAGAATGTAACCAACCTGGCGTAAAGCGTTCAATGCTACATCCACGTTGTGTACTTTCTGCAGACGCGATATCGCCGGCACGCGGCAACGTTGAGTCAATCCTTTGATACCGGTGATAAGCTCCATAACGCGGCATAATCGCACGCCATCGCGCAGATTGCGTCGTATATCCGTCATCGCATAATCGTACTCCTCGATGGAAGTCTGTCGATGGGTAAGTATGTAGTAATGACCGCGCAATACTTTCGTCACATCACCGATACCGCTCAAAAGCTCGCGCGAGAAGCTCAGCAAGATTTCGCGACTCTCTTTGTGCTGGGCGCGTTTGTGAAATAGGCACGGGTCATGACCGATCAAGTTGTGCTGCTTCGCATAATCCAAAAAATATATCAGATACAAGAACTTTTTCAGAATAAACTGGTTCAACTTCGTGATGATTTTTGGGCTCGGATCGGTTTTGTGGTAACCAGGCATTTTAATCAGTTGCGGATCCGAGAAGAATCTCGTTAATAGGAAGCGAGTTAGGCCAACAATATCATTGTTCGAGCGGAGAGGAATACTCTCATTATAGACAGTTTCCAAGCCGATACGCAGCCACAGGGGATTATAATCCAGAAATAAAGCCAATATGAGTTTCTGCAAGCCTATTATCAAATCATTAGACGTTTTATTTTATGCATTAAGAAAAAGATGTAAGATTTTTATTGATTCTTCTATTTAGAAAGCTTTCATTAAAAGAATGAAAACCACAGTTGGAAAGATAAAAATTTCCAATTGATGTGGGTAAGCATATAAAGATAATTTAATCAACGAACCAATGTCACGATGTAAATTACGATCTGATCTGATGCATAAAGTTCCTTTAATAATATATGTGTTAATGCCTGAGAGAACTTGTGTGATTTCCTTGCCATTAAACATAGCACTTGCAGCTTTTCGTAGAGTGTTCAATCTGGTACTAGTGTGATATCTGAAAATAATTAACATTATTATCATTGGAGTTAAATATTAATTAAGATTAATTTCTAAAATTTTTTATAATTTCTTGAAACAAATTTTTCAATGCTTGTGTTAAATATTAATGAAAGACATACCTTGCAGATACAGCCTCTTTAGTTTCAGCCAGTACAGTGTTCTTTTGTGCTTTGCACGACTGCCATACCTTGCCAATATCTGTTACAGCAGTTTCAATGTCAACGGATAAATCCTCTGGCGAAGATAACAGAGCATTCAACCATTTTGTGAATGCCAATTCTTGCTGCAGTAGCCATTGCTCATCATAGTGCACTATGCTATTACAATAAAGTAAGACAATTATTAGAATAATTAATTTTTAAAACTATAATTATAGATGTAATTAATTTGCATTGACAAATGTTATTAGCTTGCACTATATTTTTGCAAATTAATAGAAAAATTTAAAATTTTCATCAAAATATAACAAGAGAAAATTATATATAAAAATTTAAATCGTACATATATATTTCAATATAAATTATATTTAAAATTCATAATATTAATGTAAACTACACTATGAGATTTAACTTAACTAACTTTTTAAGAAATGGATCCTCTGTTGTTGATGGCGCAAAGGGATCTAATTCAAATGCTTCGTACATGAAAGATTCTTCATTTTGCATTCTAAAGCTCGATTCTCTAATAAACATGGAAGTATGCCATTTTGTCTTACTCAAGCCACTGAGAGACAACTTGTTGACCTTGATTGCTGCTACATTCTTTGTATTTCTTTCTGTAATCATAATGTATATTAAAATTGATATAATTGAAAATACAGAATATTTCTTAAAAAAAAAAAAAAAAAGACTTACTTGTAACAGGTATATTCAGTTGTAACTTTTTTGAGCTTCCTCCTTCGCACAAAGTTTTGTTCTTTGTGATTCTACCAGTTCTTGTGCTATTCAGTTTTGGTACTGGCATAGATACCATTTTAGAGTGGAAGTGCTTCCTTGGTGGAGAAATCTCAATATACACGTCCCCTATCTTCTTAGTGGTCTCAATATTCTCGGAAATAATGTCAAAACTTAAATATTCACGATTGGTTACTTGGACACTCGGCTTTACCTTTATACGCTTCAAGTATTCATTAGAATTTTTTGACATATCGGGATGTTGAGCTATCGGCGACGATGCAATTAAATCCTTAATATTAGGTATCAGAGAGCATCTATCAGACTTAATCGGTGACAAGTTGTGCAAACCTACTGGTTGCGATGGTACATTGATAAGAGTTTTTGTATCATAAGTTGCAGATGTTTCAAATAAATGACTGCGACTAATATCGAACGTTCTATGATTATCCGCGCTCTGCGAGAAACTTGCGGATTCTGCCAATTCTCTTTTCACTGATTCTGGAGAACTCGAAATTACATCTGCAGGTGTAAAAGTAAATTTATTCAGCAATACAGAAATCTCAGAATGGACTTTTTCATTGTCACAGTCTGTATCTTCAGTGATTCCATTCCATTCATGCGATACATTACTGCAAGGTTTTCTTTCCTTGACATATGTGATTCTACGTATGTCCTGTGGTTCATTTGTAGGAAACAAGGCTTGCGGCAGAATACTTTCATTGTTCCATACATTCATGTTTTGCTCAAACATGATATTATCTGATTTACCATGATTATGATAAGTCCCATTGATTCTTTCATCCTTTCCTCTCATTGTATAAGAAGTCTCTGTTTCATTACAACTATTAAAGATATTCTCTTTGTTTAAATTGTCTTCACGTCCTAATTTACATTGTTTTGCTTGTGCATCAAGACTAGGAATCAAAGGTTGACTAATAGTTGGAATTTTTAATGTATTATTTTGGTTGAATTGTTTGTTTGTTGTCAACACGGAAAAATTCGACGTCTTCAATAATGATGAATAGGATTTTGGTAATCTCTTCTTTGTCTTACAGTTTTTCTTATTATCTTTAGCAGTTGTTGCTATAACAATATCATATTTAATTCGTCTACTATCTGTAAGTTGCAACACATCTCGCCAGTTTCCTGCTTCTTTTGGGGACCACTTGATACATATCGTGCCATTGCTTTTTCCTTGAACTTCTAATTCAGATAAACTTAGGGCAATCTGACGTTCTGCAGCTGGCATTTTTGTTATAGTTACCTGAAATAAAATTATTAAAACATAAAAATAAGAAAATACTTATGAGTGTCTGTATATTAGAGAATTTTTCTGCAAGATTGTTTGTGTCATGCAAAAAGTCTTTAATTTCTCCAACAAGAATAAAAACATATATGCCCTTACATTTAATGTTTTTTCACCAGTATTTTTTATATCTAAATAACACTCTGCACTCGTGTTTACGTTAGTCTCCAGTTCAATCCTTGTTGCTGGTTGGAATGGGGCAAGTAACATAATATAATGAAGCTTATCCATACAAGAGTTCGTGGCTTTAGACTGTGGCGTAGGATAAGACGGACTCATCTTAATATATAATTCTTTGATCAACTACGAATACACAAGAATACAGGATTACAAGTTACAATTTAACTTGTAATAAACTTGATTATTTATTAAAAAAAAGAGAGGTGTTCATATTAAATCGTGTTAACATAACAAAAAACACTTCTCGTGTTTTATCGCCAATCTTACGTCGTATATTACACTACTTTAATTAAGAATTCACACCTTTAAAGATAAATCAGCACTGCAAAGAATGAGAGAATGTCACAATGCGTACAGTAACGGATATTTTCAATTTAATTTGAACGGACGCACGTATTAATTCAAGCAGTACTATCAACCTTCAATGATAAACTATTACTGGATATTTTAGTAACTTATTAGATAGCATGTAACTAGCATGAAAATCGTACGATTGACCAATCAGAGAGCTCTGTGTTTAACTGGCCAATCACTTCCCGCTTTGTAACTAATCTTCCTGGAAATAAAGGGAGTTGATTGGTCGTTGCACGAATATTAGCTTTTCCGAAAAAGCAGAGCTCTCATTGGATATCGCCCATCGCTCATCGCGTCCAGTATGCGAGGGTCATGATACGGGCTTTAGTAGGATCGAATTTCTTCATCCATTGTTCACTATCAATCTACTTTTAATTCCGTGTTTGTGTTGAACGCAGAATTGGTGTCGGCCAGTGTCGGCACCGCGGACGACTCCAACTGACTTCAACGGTTCGAGGCGATTTGGAACTTGGAACAAGTGTAGCGAGAATACAACGAGAATCGTTGGATCTCGTTCGTTATATTTTAGTATTAAAGAAAATTCCGTGCACTTGCTCGTCAAATGCATTAATTACAGCGACGAGACCTCAAGCCGAGGAGCAATTTACGGAATTTTAGATAGTCTTTTGTAAGTATCGGGTGCAACTATTGTCGTGCTTCTGTATCTCGCTCTATTTCAAACCTCTGCATTTATCCGACAGCTATTTCACAATTTACGAGATTCCGAAACTAGGCGAATTGAGAATTCCGCGAGAACTCGAGGCTACGGATACGCGGGAATCGTTAACACAACATTGCGTTTTCTGGTGAGAAATCGCAACTAGCCCATCCTCGAGCCATACGATGGCCGAATCCAGTGACTTGGATCGGCAAATCGAGCAGCTGAAGAAATGTGAGATTATCAAGGAGGCTGAAGTCAAAGCCCTATGCGCCAAAGCACGAGAGATCCTCATCGAGGAGAGCAACGTACAGCGTGTCGATTCACCTGTAACAGTAACTATCTCTACTCTTTGTAAAAAGTAATCTAATTGTCACTAGTGGAGCTTGAGAGATGTTAAGATCGATACAATGGTTTTTTTTTAGGTTTGTGGAGATATTCATGGACAGTTTTATGATTTAAAAGAATTATTTAAAGTAGGCGGAGATGTGCCAGAAACAAATTATCTTTTTATGGGAGATTTTGTGGACCGAGGTTTTTATAGTGTTGAAACATTTCTTCTCCTTCTTGCACTAAAGGTATGTAAAGATCTAAAATATGTTCATTAAAGATTACAGTTGATTTATATTTTAATAGTAAATAAAAAAGAACAAGCTATTCTTTTTTTATTTAAACATTTAAAATATTAATGTTTATTTTTCTTTATATTTCCATAAGAATTGCTTGAGAAGAGCCAATTCTGAAATGCTAATTTTGAAAAGTTTATTTAAGACAAGATTTATTATTCTAATATATATATGTATATTTATATCTTATCTGTTGCAGGTTCGTTATCCTGATAGAATCACATTGATAAGAGGAAATCATGAATCACGACAGATAACACAGGTTTATGGTTTTTATGACGAGTGTTTACGCAAGTATGGTAGCATAACAGTGTGGCGGTACTGTACAGAGATATTCGACTATCTATCATTATCCGCTATCATCGATGGCAAAATCTTTTGCGTTCACGGTGGACTGTCGCCTAGTATTCAGACGCTGGATCAAATTCGGACTATAGATAGAAAACAAGAAGTGAGTTATATTGTGTTTTGTTCACTATAATTCTTTTGCAATAACAAACTGTAAAGTTAGTTATCTTTTTTTATTTTGATCTGTTGTAATATTAAAGTTTTAATGTCAAAAGCTAAATTATGTGTTTTACTGTTTTTAATAAATTTATAAAATTTCTAATTTTTTAAACTAATTAAAGTTGAATACTTTTTAATACAGGTTCCTCATGATGGGCCGATGTGTGATTTGTTATGGTCGGATCCCGAGGATACTCAAGGCTGGGGTGTGTCACCGCGCGGCGCCGGTTATCTTTTCGGCAGCGATGTGGTAGCGCAGTTCAACTCGGCCAACGACATTGATATGATATGCAGAGCACATCAGTTAGTGATGGAAGGCTACAAATGGCACTTTAATGAGACTGTACTGACTGTCTGGTCTGCACCAAATTACTGTTACAGGCATGTAATATTTGCACTCGTATTTCTTTTCTTCAATGTATCTTTGTATATTGAATGTCATACATTATATATTCAAATTTTATCGCCATTAATAATTATTTTTGCTATGTATATTCTTTATCTTTTTCTTCTTATTTCTGTCAAATTTTAATCATGCTTGTTTTCATTTTTTCAATACTATTAAGAGTACTCTATATTTGCTATTTTAAGATATTTTTATTTTATTTAAGCATAATATATATACACATTAATATACAAAAAAATATCTAGATTTTTTAATTTTTCTGATATAAATTACTTTTTATAATTTTGCAGATGTGGTAATGTAGCCGCGATATTGGAGCTAAACGAGCATTTGCAGAGAGATTTCACGATATTTGAGGCGGCGCCCCAAGAAAGTCGCGGAATACCCAGCAAAAAGCCACAAGCAGATTACTTTTTATAAATGAGTTGTTGTAGAATACAAAAAAGAACAGTGGAATCGTGCATCGAACAACTTGATATTTGCTTCTTCTTTTCTCTCTTTTTCTCGGAACAGTTTGCATCAATTATGGAGAAGAACACTAGGCCGGCTTGCTATAATTTTTTACAGTGATACAATTTTTGTGATTATGTTGAATGATAATCACATAAGTGTTTGAATAGAACTACGATGATATATATAAGGAATTGATGTGTAAAATATAATAAAGTTCATCTCTCTCTTTCTTGATTTTCTAAATCTGCATGGTATGTTGTCACACAATATCGTCTGAAAAAAAATTTTTTCGGTTATGTGAAAGATATATAAAAATAATATTGAAATTTGACTTCAATAAACTTCATTAAATTGTTCATGAAATCAGTGTACTAAATATAAATCTATTTTTA